TAAATGATAATAAAAAAAGAAAAATTTTTTTTAAAAAAAAGTCCATGGTATGAAATGGGTAAATTTAATAGTGTTAAAAAAATTGTTACTAATATTAACAGGGTAAATTTGTTATAGCATTGGATAAACTTAGTATAAAAATCATGAAAATTGATTGGGCCTCAATTAGAAGTTTCCGGAGGGTATCACATAATGTTGACCAATAATAATGTTTTTTTTGAGTGCGAAGAAATTACACGACGTATTTTTGAAATGTAGCTAGTCCACGAAAAAGAGATATTTTATTCATATTTGAGTATATTATTTCTGGCACAGGGATTTTGAGAGCAAATGCCCAATGGTGAAAAAATCAAGCTCAAAAATATCATATTCCGAAAAAAATACACACCTTCGCAATGTAACTTATCTACGATATTATTCTCATTTTTGAAAATAGTGTATCATAACATAATTCCCATGTAAAATTAAAATATTGATTTACCATAGTTTTGATTTCTCAGAATGTCCATGCCCTAATGACAGACGACTTTATATACAAAGTTGTAAAATTATGAAATTAAAAACATTATGCTTTACTCCAAAGAATATATATCTAGGGGATCCTCATTTTGAATGAATTCAAATCAATATTTTTCTATTATTCTTGAATTTATATTTAAACAGATTTGTCAATTTCAAAACTGTCACCCTTAGTATATTAAAAATAATAATAATAAAATAAATAAAACATGAAACAACATGTTCGTTCATATTGGACATCAAAATTCACAAATCAATCGTAGTTAAAATTTTCATTCAGAAGCTTTTTATATATATATATACACAACTTTAAATATTATAACTTCTTGTTTTTAACCTCACAGGATTTTGTTTTCTTCAAATATTGAAAATGATATGGGAATGTTAATGGTTTAGGGTTATAAACATCCAACGTAGTTGGACATGAATTCTTTATTGTCAATATAAAATGTATACACAAAGTTATAATAAATAGTTCCCTTTGTTGTCTCAACCATTTTTCTCTTTGCATTGGGTGGGTAATTAAAAACTTTTCAGCCTCAACAATTTAGTCAATACGAAGCAGAATGCAATTTTAAACATATTATAATAAATGCTACAATTATGAATACATATTTTTTTTTCAGTAACATTCCTTTACCTAAATTCTCCCCAAAAATGTAGATTTCCCATCCAATATTAACATGTTCACATTGAATGGTATCAAATATTCACATACCTAATGTAAAGGATTTGTTGTTAAAAGGTTGTATTTTAAAATACATAATATATCCTTTCCCACATATAGATTTAATTTTACATCGTGGCCAGCCTTTAGTGTTATTAAATATGTACATTAAGTGTACTATATATATATTCAGTTTTGTTCTTCTTTGAGTATTCTGTCACTTTTAGAGTAATAAAAAACTTGAACTGAAATTGTTTTTCTTGTATTTTTTTGATAATAGTTTATATATATTACTTCTTTACCTGTTTATCATATTAGTTGTAATATTCTTTATAATCCGGTTTGTTTTTATTTAAGATTTTCTGTCATCTTTGAAATAATAAAAAAATTTGAATTGTTTTTCTTTTCTTATTTATTTATACTTTAATAATAGTTTATATATTGTAACTTGATTTTTTTGCCAAAACTCTTGTTGTAAAGTTTCATATGCAGAGTTTTCTTTTTTACTATGAAACGGACGACATTTTTTTAATTTTTGAGGGAGAGATGACAGTTTTGGAATTGTTATAGATATTATAATTAAAATTAGCGAAAGATTGTAGATTCAATATAGGACATTTTCCACCTCCGAAAAAATCTGATTTTACTTTTTTTTGTACTTCCAAGTTTTAATGCGTTAAACTTTTTCTCCAATACAATGAACGCTCAATATAGTGATTTTATTATCGCTTTTTTATCTATATTACGCAGGATTATGAAAAAGCAGACATAAATAAATATTGAATCATACTATATAAGGGCATATACCGCACAATTATAAATCAACTATCATTTCAGTCAATCAGTAAAAATTAGTAAATTTACCCGAGGATCTTTTTTATTGTGTAAATAGTTGAAGATTTCACTTGAATTTTTCACGATTTTACCTCATTAAATCATATAGGATTGTGCGGTGTCCTTAAATATGTGACGATGATCTTTTATATATGTTACGAGTATTACTATCTTTGGGTTTCGCCTACGTGTAACCCAAAATAGCGATGATATTCTTGATACATAAAATCACAAATGTTGCTAGAAATAAAAAAAAATGTTAATACCGTAAAGTCTCGAAAGATAGCACCCCCTTTTTACAACTGTATAATAAATGATTTTCAAGTGTTTTAGGGCAGAGATGCTATCTTTAGGAGATGTTATCTTTCAAAACTTTACGATATAAATAAATAATTCTGATGGTGTGATCATGTGATATTTCTACTGGAAAACTTTAAAAATTTATAACTTAACAACAAATGACTCAATTTGAATGATTTTTTTCTACAGTGCAGGACACCTAGTCCCTACAACTTTTATTGGTCTTGCAAATCCTTTAACTCTTCCAAAAATGGAAATGCATGACCAAAAAAACGAGATGTAATTTTGAAGCTAAGACCTTTCTTTACAAAGTTACAACTTCATTTTGTTGATATGTCCAAAGTGATGCGTTGCACACAAATTTTTTATATTAAAAATTGAATGAATTGGAAGCATCGAAATTTTTGAAATTTGTATGGTTGATCTTTTATTACGTGATAACAGTTAAGAAAAAAACTGAGAACCATATTATGAACAAAATTTACTTTTTTCTTAATATAATTATACTTATATTATTGTCACCGATTAAATTTGGGAGAGCGTATTTTTAATTGGTGATAACAATTATTTTTGTTTAGTGTGGATCAGAATGAATAGGGGATCAACGAATTGATTTGGTATTAGCGAATAATTTTGGTTAAAGAAGATAAAAGTTTATTTAAATAAAATATTACTATTTTATTTATTTAGTTTTATTTAGTCGAAACTAATTAACTTGTAACAAAGTTGCTTTTACATTAGGTCGAATCCAAGTTTTTTATATACGTGTTCATTTACATATTAGCCAGAATTGCGCGAATCCGCTTGGTTTGGGCGAATCGGGAGAATCGTAGATTAAAATTAAACAATAATAAAAATAAAATAGCAATAAAATTTAATTTGACCCGGAATTAAAGGATTCGGCCAAATTATCGTCGTCATCATCTGATCCTGGTAACATCATCTTAATTCTGTAATTATCTATAAGTATATATTATTTGGATAAAATTTCGCACTTGACAATAAAAATTTATTGCATTTTTGATTGTAAATTTTTTCTCAAAAACTGTCACTTGGCACAGAAAGTTGTAGGGACTAGATGTCTTGCAATATATTTAAAAAGATTGTGGCTTAAGGCAGTGTATAAAATTCGTGTACAGTGTGCACCATGCACAACCCCCTTAAACTGTGCAGACTTTCCACAAAAATTTTAAATATAGTGCACAAATTCAATGAGAAATTTTTGCACTATAGTTGGCTCGGTCTAAAGACCTCCTAAATTTTGGGCAAATTTTAAAAGTATAGAAGTCACTTTCTGTCCTACCTTTTAAAAAATAGCTCTATTAGTTGATAGAATATGTCTTTAGTTTTAATTTAATAGAGATTTTCTCCAAAAAATTATTTGTTGTAGAGTTCTATTCTTTTTTAAACATGTACTTTACTATATGCTCGCAAGGAATTTGTCCACTATGATCATTTCTAAATTTAGGAAAAAGTATTACCTAATTTAGACTAACACTTGACTATCGTATCTAAATTTGGCAGTGAGAAAACTAAAATCACGTGAAGTCCTATTTTTTGAAAAATTTTACTACATTTTTGAACAAATTACAAAATTGCTATTTTGAAATTTGGCCGCGTGGCGCAGCAATAGGAGGTCTTTAGACCGAACCAACCATACATATTACATTTTTTTATATATAATGCGAAAAAAAAAAAAAATCAAAAAATAAACTATATACTTATATACAATTTTTTGTGCATACATGCACAACTTTTGCACAAATCCTCAAAAAATTTTTTTTAATATTGTATTTTCTCAATTTTTTGCATATATTAGTATTAATACACACAGACTCTGATAAATCAGCCGCAGTAATTAACTAATATGCGGTTGACTTGTGTAATTATCAAATGTGTAAATGATTTTACGGACGCCCATCTATAAGCAAACAAATAAATATATTATTTTGTTAAAAAATCCCCACAAAAAAAAAAAAAAAACATTCATTGTCTGAACAACAAACAAACAAAAATGGTTAAGATATCATTGTAAGTTTTGAAGAAGGTATACAACAATACAATGTAATATAATAGTATTGCCGTTTACACTCTCTTTACTCTTACTTTAAAAGTAAGCTTCCATTCAATCTAATCTTCGAACAAATATAATTGACAATGATCGTTTCCGATTTCACACGAGATAAAGAAAAAAACCAAATAAACGTAGCCGCAAATTTCCGTTTTATCAAAATACCAACATTTTCTCTTCCACTAGTTCTACCTCTACTAAATGTTGTTGATATGTTGATATCAAAATTATAGCTAATGAAATGGTCAAGGCAAACTTTTAAAGCAAAATAAAATATTTCTTTAACTACTATATCGTGTGAAACTTTGTAAATTGATGAAAAATTATACACACCACCCACATATAGGTGAAAATCACATGAAAATTAAATTAGCCAATTTCACATCTAATATTTCAATTCGCAAAAATAGATATTTTGTTACGATATAATTTTCATAATTTCATTGCAATTTATATATTTTAACGTGTTATCATCATACAAAAATTATTGAACCAAAAAAGCAGACACAGACACAGATTAGATTTTATTTATTTAATAAATAATTACTAAATATATAATTAATTTAAAACTCTTTTTTCTTCAAAGATATTAAATACTAATTGCTACTATTAGTTTTCTTCTTCCGATGTAATTAAACCTTTTTTTACCAGTAATTCTTCTAATTCACCTGACTGATGCATATTCAATACAATATCACAACCACCAACAAATTCACCTTTTACATAAACTTGAGGGATAGTTGGCCAATTTCTGGTATATTAATTTGTAAACAACCCAAAAATGAATAAATTAGTTCCAAAAAAAATCAATAAATTCCTGTTCCTATTCAATGATTATTAAGCAAATAATTACATACGAATATTCTTTGATTCCATTTCTTAATTCCACATCTTCTAACACATTTAGAGCCTTGATCTTTGTGCTATCAATTCCTGATAAATGATATAAATAAAAACATTATCTCTTGCTTAAACATATAAATAAAATAAACATGTATGAAATCATGAATACCTTGAGTGTTAAATATTTGAACTACAGCTCTGCTAAATCCGCACTATATCCATCCGTTGATCACATGCATGTTAAATGCATAATCTTTTAATGATAAGATGTGGGAAATATAAAGAAGTTCTTAAAAAATTTACCTGTGGTTCATTAGGTGTGCCTTTCATAAACAACACAACATCATTGTTCTTTACAGTCTAAAATTATGAAAGAAGCTCCTTGATTAATCATTTCCAATATTTGGTGGTCTCACTTTAAAAATAACTAAAATAAATAGATAAATAAATAAATACCTCGTCTAAAGATTTTTTCAAACTATCTGATAAGTATCTGGATGATAAAAAAAATGATGGATTATTGAATCTTGGATTTAAAGATCTTTGGTTTGTTGTTAACGTAAATAATGTTCTTGATGAATATTTTATTGGATTAAGGTATGTTATCTAAGATATTAGAATATAAACTACTTGGTCAACTAACGATTATTCATTTAATTAAAATACAACTGCTTAAACAACCAATTAATTGAAAGATTTAGTCAATATTAATATTTACTCTGATCTCATATTAATATTAAAACATACCAATCCTCTAAGTTGTTGTTGAAGCATAATTTTTTTTTTGAAATATTTTTTTTTTCACGCCAGCCATTTGTGTGTCACATATGCGCAGTATTTTAGTTGGCGAAAATTGTGGCGTAATTAATTGGGGGTTGATTCTCGAAACGATTTGGTTCACAAAAAATAAATATTTGAAAAACAGTTTCAAGCGTTGTCATATGAAGAAGACTGCAAATTAGTCATAGATATATTTATTCTGGAAATTCATTTAAAAGAAAACATGGATGTATTTTCAAAGGAATGTAAAAAAAAAAACAAATACATACATCTCCGTCTATCCATCTGTTTTCTTTTCTTTTCAAGATAAAAATCAAATTTTATTTATAAATTATTTCTGGAGAATCCCGCAAGAGAATACATGCAGTCATAGTAATGGTATTATTTGCATTATTAGAATGATAGAATGATTCTATTTTTATCGCTTCAAATTTGAAATTATACTATGAGACAAAGAGAACAACTAGCCAATCTCTTTTTCTATGAATCGCACCTCCAAAAAACTTTGTTATCAACACCAATGAAATTTTTTTGATGTAACATAACTTCATTTGAAAAAAATTTTTTACCTTATAGTTACGATTTGCAAATTTACGACGGCTAATAATATTTAAAAGATGCCGAATACGTATAAAATTCTTTATAGATTAAAGAACATCCAAAATAATTAGAATAATAAATTTAATTAAGAGGACCATTGCGCATTTGTACTTTTTTCCATTCATTTATCTTTTTCATCCTTGTCACTCATCAATTTTCGTTTTTCAATGGTTTATTTTTGAAGTCAATGAATATAATTCAATAGAGGATTTCAAGCCTTTTATTCTCCAAATATAGGAAGTCTATTATAAAATACTGGCTTGTTATTTGGGGGCAGTGTTGTGTGTAGTTAAATCGGGATATTATTCATTCTAAACTTGCTTAAGGTATATTAAAAAAATTTTTTTTTTTACATTACGAAATATAAAAACAAATTTTTTCCATGAAAGCTTTCTTGTTCCTTCATTTATAATTATTGAAATTTCTAAAAATATTGTCGGACGCCAATATCAATAATATTGGAAATTGTTAATCAAAATGGACGCGATGTTGTTAAAATATTTATCTTTATCCGGTGACCAAAATATTCATGCTGTTATGACGCGCGTATCAAATTAATTTTAATTATTTAACTTATTCGGAATTTATTTATTATTAGTATAAAGAATTAGTTACAACAGAGTAATCTTGTTTGATTGAAGCGTATAATAAATAAAATTCAAGACTGGTTTATGTGAGAAGTCGTGTTACATATGCTATAAAATTAATTAATTTATATCTAACGAATGAATATACAACAGTAGTAATTAATGAAACATCATTATTGTAATCACCTTTATTGAGTAAATTTTGAATAATTTTCTTTACTGAAAAGCCAAAATCATTTATTTAAAATGATAGCGGAGAAAACCAAAATTGAATAATGAAGCCATTTTTGGTGATTTCTGAAAAAGTTTACAAAGACGGGGTGTTTCACATTTAATTTATATTTGAATCGAGTTACAACAGACAGACGACGAACTTTTTTGGTGAAATTTTTCATAACAAATTTGAATAACATTGAAATATAATGATTTCCTTTTTTTGAAATTGTCACGTTTCTCACATAACTCAAAACCTTATTTTTTAAAAACCTGTACAGTAATACTGACTCTTCCGGCCTTTCAAGCATATTAATGTGAAAATATTTTTACCGGTTCATATATGTACAATCATACATCCATATAAGAATTTTCCATATAAGAACATCATATAAAACTCTCTATAAGAACACCTCTCTGTAAGAACAATTTTTAGAAAAAGTCGATATGTTCTCGATAGAGTTCTTATATGGAGGTACGACTGTATTATACAAATGCATCAAAGTTTCTTAATTAGTAATAAAAATTATATTTTTTTTGATTTGTTTAAATAAACCTGCCCTCACAAATTAGGTGCAACATTCATAATGATAATAATAATAAAGAAAAAATTATATTGCTTGCCAAACGTTCCGAAATAAATGCTTTCTTCAGATAAGAAGACGAACAACAATAACGAAGCCACAAAAACATAGTAAAATAATCAATCATTAGTATAACAACATCGCGTTTTTTTTTGTAAAAAATTTGATTAATTGGTGGTATGCGGAAATATAGTTGATATGAATTTGAAATTCGCTTTAAAACATATTGGCAGAGCAAATCAAAGTTTATTATATAACAATGCATTTTAAATTTCATTAATGAGATAGAAAATTTGTTATGAAGAATAATTTACGTCTATAACAAAATATTAGGTTTTAATGAAAATACTTCCGCCATTCAAAAGATCACAAATTATTATTTTCAGAGGTAGTATATAATTTGTGTGTAATTATTTATGTGCTTACTCCTTTAAACTTTCTTTGTAATAAAATTTTTATTTTATTATTGAAAGAAGAAATTTAAATTAAATCAATAAATCAAGGTGCTATATAGTATTGTTCCAACAACCTTTTTATTTTATCGAAAAAAGTTATTTAAATAAATAAAAATAATCACAAATAGAATTTTCACCATTACCAACCCTAACTATACCAGGATTCCTGTATCTAAACTTTCCTAAATAAATTTTAACTTGGACAATCAATAGTGAAATGGGTTTAGTGGTTAGAAATTTTTTTATTTATCTTTACCAATTTTAGTACCAAAATCTTTAATTTGACGAAATCGTGCATAATAATAAAAAACGCGCATATACTATTTTTGGCGATTAAATTTAATTTAATCTTGTGGTACGACAATTTAATGCATCCAATTAATAATAATAACATTTTTTATTTTACGAATACCTTCTTTTACGGAAATATACGAAATACAAAAGCACACGAAATTTCAGTTTTTCGTAAATTCTGGGCATTTTCCGTGTAAAATGCGCTTGTTTACAGGAAGATTTCGTAAATTTTCTATTTGATAAAACTAAAACATACGGAAAACGTATCTCTTTTCCATACATTTTTGATGTTTACTGATTTTTTCATGCAATATTTTTATTCTCTCTCGTAATATAAAGAACAAACTTGATTGGTACAAAACTTAGCATACATCACCTTTTTTTTTAATTCATCAAAAGGTTGTTTGGTAGGACCTTTTAAGGTACTTGAAAGCTGCTCATTTCTAAATGCAACAAACTATATTAATATTTGATTTTTTGTGTTATTCGGTTAAGGTTGCTTGCCGAAGCCTCTTAATGACTGTTGAAACTCTGCTGAAACTCTAATATACAATTAGTGCCGAAACTCTGCCTATTATCAAAATCCCCAAATGTGAAACTCTAATAAACAAATAGCGTGTAATATGTCGAAACTCTGCCGATTGATTTCCGGAGGAGTTTTGGCAAGCAACCATAGATTTGGTTGCAATCAGCGTCCCGAGCTTTTTGATATAGTCATGCCACCAAATTTTTCTCAGCATTATTTATTATGAAATCAAAATCAAGGATAATTTTCACAAGTAATTAAGGTATGCTTGATATTTTATTATTGATATTGTACAATTCCTATACCTTTTTGTTTTTTGCTTCTTTAAAAGCTGCATTCTTTATGCTGCACTTAATGTTATCTTTCTTGCCTGGTCTCAAAAAGTGTGCTTTAGGTAATTACCATGTGAATAATTCACAGTCAATGCACTTGAAAAAAAAATTCTTTTTGTAAGATGTACCTTGTTTTGTTTCATGCTTCCAATTAAAATTATGTTTAATAAAACTTAGATTTTGCAGTAAATTATGATCATGATCATGATGTTTATTATTGCCTATAATTATGACAGGATTAGATTGGTTGCAAGAAACGAATAAGAATATATAGTTTGATTGAAAATCTTTTTGTAAAAAATCCCAATCTGGCATACATAATATAAAAGTTTTCCAGAAGAAAAAAATTTTTTTTATATATAGTGCCAATCATCACAAAATGTTACCAATCTTTAAATGCTATTTTACCAAAAACTCTCTTTTTTTTGCAATCTTCTTTCTAGACGTGAAAAAATAATGTAATAAAAATTTTTTTTGAGTTATTTAGTAAAAAAATAAGTTATAATGGTTTAAAGTTGGGTAACTTTACTATGTTTTTGAAATTTTGGCAACTATTCACGTGACAAAGTCACATATTGAGCTCTTTATAAAGCAAGATCGGTATTAAAAGTTTACGGAAAGTGGTGCAGCACGTATTAGTATATTTTGGATTCGGATTTTTACAAAAGTGCTAATTAATATTAATATATTTATATTTAATAATTAATATGAGAAAAGATCTTAGCTTACTATTACCAACCGAGTACAAATAGAAATTCTTTATTAATAATTAATATCAATTAATTATATTTAATGTGATATTAATATATTATTAATATAAGAAAATATCTTACTCATCGTACAAATAGAAATTTTCTTAATATTAATATTAATATATTTAACAATTAATATTATTAATATATTTAACAATTAATATATTTAACAATTAATATTATTAATATATTTAACAATTAATATTATTAATATATTTAACAATTAATATTATTAATATATTTAACGATTAATATTATTAATATATTTAACAATTAATATTATTAATATATTTAACAATTAATATTATTAATATATTTAACAATTAATATTAATATATTTAACAATTAATATTATTAATATATTTAACAATTAATATTAAGATTTAGAATTAAATATTAAAGTTTAATGTTAAGTCGCTAAAAACAATTTTTTATTAATTTATTAAAACATAACTTTGGGAAGCATGAAATCAAAAAACAAGGTGAATGTTTTTTTGTCTTGAGCAGATTATGATTTTCACCTTTAAGAGACAATTATATATAACTCCATAAAATTTTATTCTTTATTTACAAACATTCTTTATGAATATTATGAATATAACAGAATTGAATTAGTTGCAACAAAAAAGTATATTTCAGGAATGATCGTTA